AAACCAATATCAAATACGTTTAAAATTGATTTAATATGAAAATTTAATTTATAATTGATAAAAAATTTTAAAAATATATAATATTTATGTATTCATCTAAAATATTTATATTATATATAATGTGAAAATTAAATTTGAAATAGAGTTTAAACGGAAATTATTTGCTACAATTTAGAAACCAAACTATCTTATCTATTTGGATTAATTCTCCAACCAGAGGCAGAGGCAAGTGGGAAGCTTTTTTCTCATATTCTAAAGCGCGACTACAGTAACAATGAGTTCCCTAAAAACTCTCAACCGTAGATATCTTGAATTCCCATGGGACCCATAGACTGAACGGTTGTGAAAAAGAAAGGGTCCAGGTAATTCTGACTTGGGTTTGATTTCCTTGAAAGAAACCAAACCATGATTAAAAGCAGCAAAATGCGGTTGCTCATCCGCGTGTTTCGCCGTTAACGCTAAACTCAAACCTCTCGTTTCCATAACTCCCCAAAACGAAGATGAAACATGCTGTCAACAAAATTTTAGCCATAAATATCATAAAAACACGGAGTGGAAAAAAAAAAAAAAATTGGGGAAGATTAAGAAGAGGGAATTGGGAGTTTTAAAGTTCAAACCCAGATAGGATCAAATAAAATCAGATCAAAAAATCCCCTCTGGTTGGGATTGGAGTTGTTTTAAGAACAAACACCAACCCTTGTACGAGAAGGAAAAGAAAGAGAAAAAGGGGTTTGTTTGATTTGATTTGTTGGTTCTGTAAGTAGATTTTTACCCCCGTTGTCGAATCCATCATTAATTTATTCATATATAGAAAGAGAAAGAGAGAGAGGGAGACAGAGTTTTTGTTTTTCTCATTCTTGTTGTTTGTCTCTGTTTCTTGAAATGGATGGCGAGAAGAAGTATATGTCTGAAGAAGAGCTTAGAAAGCACAACAAGGCCGGAGATTTATGGATCTCAATCCAGGGGAAAGTTTACAATGTGACAGATTGGGCTAAGGAGCATCCTGGTGGGGAAGCTCCGCTTTTGAATCTAGCAGGTCAAGATGTAACCGATGCGTTCATAGCTTACCATCCCGGCACTGCGTGGAAATACCTGGACAAATTCTTCACTGGGTATTATCTTCAAGATTTCAAAGTCACAGAGGTGTCCAGAGACTACCGCAGATTAGTCTCCGAGTTTTCCAAAATTGGTTTGTTCGACAAGAAAGGCCGCGTCGCCTCCGTCGCCCTCACATCCGTCGCTCTCATGTTCGCCGTCGTGCTTTACGGCGTTTTGCGATGCGACAGCGTTTTGGCTCATCTGGGTTCCGGCTGCTTGTTGGGTTTCCTCTGGATCCAAAGCGCTTACGTCGGTCACGATTCCGGCCACTACGAGGTAATGACGAGTCGCCGTTACAATAAATTCGCTCAGTTTCTCGCCGGAAATTGTTTGACCGGAATCAGCATTGCGTGGTGGAAATGGACTCACAATGCCCACCATATCGCCTGCAACAGTCTTGACCATGATCCTGATCTTCAACACATTCCAGTCTTCGCTGTTTCTTCCCGTTTCTTCAACTCAATCACATCGTGCTTCTATGGAAGAAAACTCAACTTCGATCCATTAGCCAGGTTCCTCGTCAGTCACCAGCACTGGACATTTTATCCCGTCATGTGTGTCGGTAGAGTCAACTTGTTTATCCAGACATTCTTGTTATTGTTCTCGAAGAGAAAGATTCCGGACAGGGCATTGAACATTCTCGGAATCGTGGTCTTCTGGACATGGTTTCCTCTCCTTGTTTCCTACCTCCCAAACTGGCCGGAGAGGGTGATGTTCGTAATAGCGAGCTTCACCGTCACTGCGATCCAACACGTTCAGTTTTGTTTGAATCATTTCTCTGCAAATGTGTATCTCGGACCACCAAACGGCAACGACTGGTTCGAGAAGCAAACCAGCGGGACTCTGGATATTTCCTGCTCGTCGTATATGGATTGGTTCTTCGGTGGATTACAGTTTCAGCTGGAGCACCATTTGTTTCCAAGATTACCCAGGTGTCATTTACGGAAAATCTCGCCAGTGGTGAAAGATCTCTGTAAGAAACATAACTTGCCTTACAGGAGTTTGTCGTTTTGGGAGGCTAATAAATCCACCATTAGGACTCTGAGAACTGCTGCTCTGCAAGCTCGGGATATGACCAATCCTATTCCCAAGAACTTGGTTTGGGAAGCTGTCAACACCCATGGCTGATTTTCGTTATCAGCTTCATGATTTTATTACTGTTTTGTTTTCTCGCTCTGATGTCTGATTTGATTTGATTTAATTTCTTGAGTTACGGTTGGTTGGCAAGGATGGTGTTTCTTAGGTTTAATTTTCTGCTTTACTTTTCCTCATAAATATATTCATATATTTCACTGAAATATACGTATATTGGTTGTTCTCTGTTTCTCTTTTAATAGAGTGTTGAGGTTGACGATGGTGTTTGAAATTCTCTAAAACAATTTAAGAAATAACATACGAAAGAATATTTATAGTAATTTTATTTTTGAAGTTGGGGTTTGTTCATAAATGATGTGAATCCATTTTAAGGGATATATTGATTTAGTTTGTTAATACGTTGCTGAAATTTTATCAGTTTTAGTAAAAGATTGGATGGAGATGTGTACATACATATGGTTCAATTTTTTATTATTATTTTAGGGAGTATTTTTTTTTTTTTTTTACTAAGTTCTAAATCTATTCTTAATCCGACCTAAACTCAAAGAGGTAAAAAAAAAAAACAAAAACAAAAATCAATGGTTTGGTTGGCTAAAGATATAAGAATCAAAGCTTGAGTCAATTCTCCACGAAAAACTACCCTACATATATATACACTGAGATATATATATCAACTCACAAATGTGCAAAGATGCTAAATTTGTATGTGAATGATGAGATTTGAGTCAGATCGAAGTTGGTGTACGGGCACGACCTTATTCAACTCACGTGTAAACTGAAATCTTCCTTTTTAATATTTTTACAAAAAGGAAATGTTATATTTATAAGAAAATAATAATAATAATTACTTACAAACATAATGAATATGATGTAGAAATAAAAAAATCGAATCATAATTATATGATATTAATAGTAATTCCCTTCACAAAATCAAATGAATATATCCAACCCAAAATTTATTATATGCCAAAGAAAAATTACACAACTTTATAAGTTTTTTTGATTTATTTGTCAAATTTTATATTCAGAAAATAAGGGAATATTTTAGACGAAATTAATATTATTGTTAAATAAAAATTTTAATAAATTAAATAATCAATTAACAAATTTTATTATTTATATAATAGCTTTTTTGTTTTTCGATTAAAAAAATAGAAGGTTTATGCCTAATAAAACTAATTAATTCCGTGCATAATTTATTTATTTATAATAAAAATCTATAAATGTTAAAATTGATAGTAAAATTTAATTATAAAAAAAAAAATTAAATAAAATTTAAAACCTTCTCCTCTCCACCTTCACTGACCGATTCACCTAAATCCTTCATCTTCCACCTCCAATCTCTCCTTTACCAGATCTATACTTCGACCTTCTATTCCCTTCACCGGGACTAACATCAACCACAACCAAGCTCTTCGGCTTCACCCACCACGGCCCCTCATCTCGGTGCGCCCTAGAAATGTTCGCTTCCTTCGTCTTCCTTCTTTGAAATTAGCACCACAAAGAGTTCAGGTCTTTCGTTTCTCCTCCCTAGAAATGTTTGCTCTTTGTTTTGTCCGTGCTATACTCTATACATACTCTTGTTAGTTTCTTATCAAGTTTGTTGGCGGATTGGTAGTCTAGAGGCGTTACTTACGCGGGTGCTGATAAACAGATTACTTAATATCGTTGGCAGATTGAGAAAATGAGAGGTTTTGCTGTTTGTACCACGGATCAAATGTTGCTGGATTTTTTTCTTTATTTATTTCGTGTTGTGTCTTATGTGGATGTATGAATATTTGGTGGTAAAGCAAGTGATTATTCTATGGGCCTGTGCTATGGATGATTCTCTTGTGCGTTCTGGAATTAGTAGACTTGTGTGTATATTCATATTTGGTTGTAGCTGCCGCCCATATACAATTTCTTTAAATAATCTTCAGATAATAAACCTGGGTGGATTTTATGAAGGGGGTGTTCTAAAACGTTTTCCCTGTGTACTATGTGGCTACTATCTAGAAATTCGATCACTTTTGGTTCAGTTTTAAGTGCTTGCCAGCTTTTGCTTCTTCACTGTTTTCCAAAAGCTTTAGATATTTTCCACATATCTATGTGTTTTATATAAAATGTTAGAGGGTGCCAGTAGGCACTTGTTAAAGAAACATGTAAGAAGATGTAATAAGTGGTTGCACTTAAAAAAGAGAGTTAAAATTAGTTACCAGGTAATGAATAGTAATAGACAATTTAACTAGAAAAGTTAGACTGTTTAACTTTTGTGAAAATCGTTCTTCTGATTTGCTGTGTTTCTGTCAAACTAGTAACTGCACTCTAATAAGTTTCAGTATATATTGTAAGCACTGCCAAAAACTAAGTCTTTTTATCCTCCTAGTGAGTTCATTGATGGATTGATTGAATTTGGCTGAACAATTCTAACCATCAGGTTCTCTTATTGTTATGCAAAGATTTAGTGTGTGCTGGTATTCAAGTGAAGGGCTCAAGGGTGTCATGAATCCAGAGTAAAGTTTTGTGAAGAAGAAAATGAGGATAATAGGGCTTACTGGAGGGATTGCATCAGGGAAGAGTACAGTCTCCAATCTCTTCAAGGCTAATGGCATCCCAGTTGTTGATGCCGACCTTATTGCTCGTGTATTTCCCTGTTATTTTCATTTCTTCTTCTTTTCTCTTTGCTGTTCCATTGTAGCATTTGTTCGTGATTTTAATTCTACTAAATTCTAGTTTTTTCTGATATATCTATACTTTAAGAATTGAATTGAAAAAAAAAGAACAAAAAATTCACAGATTTTATGGATACTCCGTGTGAAATTCATGGCAGTAAACTAATAACTTGGTAAATCTATGTTGTTCAAGTTAATTTCAATTAAGAGGAACAGGAAGAGGCAATTGGAAACCTTTTTCCTTTAGATAAGTATTGCCAATATATATGCGAATACCTTGCCGTAGTCTTCCTTCCTATATATTTTCACATTTTAGTTAATTCTATGAGTACTTGTTTGCAGGATTCTTTGAGGAAAGGTACTGTTGGTTGGAAAAAGGTGGTTGCAGCTTTTGGAGAGGAAATTTTACAGCCCAGTGGAGAAGTTGATAGGGTGAAATTGGGTCAAATTGTGTTTTCTGATCCTGGGAAGCGCCAGCTGCTTAACCGGTATAGCTAGCTACCATTCTGTTAGATGGTTCTCGGAAAATAAGTGCCTTCTCTTTGCATTGTGAGTGTGACATGAATTTTGCATGGAAATTCAAAGTTTGATGTGGATTTAATAGTTACATCAATCAAAATACACTTAGTCAGCATAGTTTATGCTGCCTTTTAATATTTTCATTTCTTTTTCTGGTGTCAATTGTGCTGCAGGAGTTTGAGAAAAACAATTAAAGTTGAATCATGTTTTTTTGGCTGTGATATGTAGATTTGATCACTCTAAGCTGTTTTTTCTAGTTTGAACTAGTTTTTTAGTTTATTTTTTGGTTGAAATGGAACCAATTACAATCTCATTGTTGATAAAGTAGATTTTTCAGATGCTCAAAACTGTTTAAAAGGACAGCACGTATGGTGTAGGATAAAGACTTTTGTTCCTTCAAAAAAAATCAAACTTGGTCAAGGTGCAACTTCTAATCAATTCTTTGAACTAGATGCTTCATCACTCATGGGTAGTTGTTTTCACACTCTTTGTAGCTTGCATATGAAGATTTAGGGCTCCTCGGCTCTTTTGCTCTTTTCTCTGTTTTCCACTTCTAGTATTTTCCTAGTCTGGAATCCATGCTAGGTCTTACTAGTCTATTTTGCTTTCTCCAAGTTATATTTCCGGAAGGTGGTTTTACTAGTGTCCATTTTTTTCTGGATGGCTTGCCTAAATCTCTTGCCATATGTTTGGTAATATATCATCAAGAATTTGCAATGAAATCACACCTGCAATGCACGAGTTTTGAGATTTCTTTTCATGTCATCTTCTAGGCTATTGGCTCCTCATATATCTTCTGGCATCTTTCTGGAGATTTTCAAGCTGTGGGTAAAGGGGTCCAAGGTGATTGTCCTTGATGTACCGTTATTATTTGAAGCGAAGATGGATAAATGGACCAAACCCGTTATTGTTGTATGGGTTGACCCTGAAACACAACTTGAGCGACTCATGGCAAGAGACAAATCTAATAAGGAGGACGCCAGCAACCGGATAAATGCTCAGATGTCACTGGATCTAAAAAGAAACAAGGCAGATATAGTCATTGATAACAGTGGATCGATTGAGGACTTGAATGAAGAATTTAAAAGGGTATTATTGCAGGTCACAAGACCATTGAACTGGACTGAGTTCTGGCTCACAAGACAAGGTGCTATATCAGCACTTACTTCTGTTATTGTGGTTGTCCTTGCATGCAAAAAAATATATAATAGCTTGTAGCTACATAATTTCCAACTCTTGTATGCTTCATTCCTTCAGGTTGTACGTTGTCCATATTTATGCAACAAAAAGTAGTTCAGTATTTTCAATTTGATTTGCCTCACTGTAAATTTTAAGTGCCTAAAAAAATGATTTACCCCTGGCACTAAGAAAACCCAGTCTGGGGTTGTAACTAAGGAGTAAAGTTTAATTTTAAAGGGTTGCCATCCAGAGATGGCATCAGGATCGGTTTGGGACGAATCTTACTAAAATCAAACCCCTTTTGGGAACTGTGTGAACTGTTTCAAGACTGCCATGAACTACGGACAGGTTTATAAAAAACAAAGTTCTATTTGGACTATGCAGGTTTGCAGTAAAACTAGATGAAGATTAAGGAAGAGGACGAAGGAGGTGAACATGTGGAGGAAGTTTTGTGTTTTAGGGTTTTCTGCAACTCGGTTTCAGATAATTCGTTTTGTTTCGATTGAATAAATTAAAAATTTGCAGAGACTTGTCTTGGTTCAGTTGGATTTTAGTTGAAACCCACAACATTATCTGTCACGATGAATGATTTTGGCGAATCGTGAATTTTTGTCATTTCTAATATTGTCACACACTGATTTTTAAATTCCCAGATTCTTTTTTTTTTTTTTTTAATAAAGATTCGTTAATGCATGTGACTAGCTGCTGTGCTACCAATACTATTTTTCAAGATCGAGAAAGAGAGAGAAGATGGAGAATTTTCAAGCTGAGGAAGCAAGATGAGAATAGGTTTTTGGAATCTATTATGCAGCTTATTTCGATCCTTCAAAATTTATAAAAATATCAAAAGCAGTGTTTTAGACAATAAAAAAAGTATATTTGATAATGCTAGTGTTCGTGCAATAAATTAATATGAATATTTTAAAAATGAATTTCAGAAAATATAATTTTAAAAGTAAAAAGTGTTTAGAAAAAATTTATTCTAAAAATGATTTTCACTGTAAACTATGATATTATATTTAGTTAATTATCTTACAAAATTAATAATAAATATTAAAATAATAAAATAATTACATAATAATAAAAAAACTAATTACTTTAATTATTTCTCATATTATTTTTTTTTCTAAATACTACTTTAATAATTTAAAATATTTATTTTTATTTAACTACTATATTTATTTTTTTTTATATAAATATTACATTTACCCGGATTCGAAATTTAGGCTTGGAATAAACAATTTATATTAATGAATAAGTTTAGAAACTTTAATTTTTAATTTTTATTTAAAATTTTGAAGAAAATTATATTTTGAATGTATTTAAAAATAATTTTTAAAAATTAGAATCAAACTAGAAATAAAAAAGGGGCTATTTGAAAATAAAATTGAAAAACTCGGATAAAAATACAAATAACAGAAAACGGGCCATATAGACTGTCACATCAGCAGCGCGATTAATCACCGTGCACCGCATGACAGACACGCAAACACGCATCCACGCGGGAAGCCACAGACAATCCGCGTGCTAACCGATTTGACGGTTCAGATCCACTCTTGCGCGCACAGAAGGCTCAAATTCGTTTTTTCTTCATATGCGATCGAGCGATCTTGATTTTATTTGATTGTGCGGTCCAGATTTATTCTTCAGATATGATTGATCTAACGGTTGAGAATGGGTCACGCCTCCTCAAACAGATGACCCAGATTTAATGAAAATAAGTATTTAACTCTTCTTCCACAAAAAACCTTAACAGCAGTCGCCAAGAGTGAATCAGAGAAGAATGAGAGGTGGCTGGAAGCAAATAAGTCGTCGGAGAAGAAGATCTGCCGCAGTTGCCGCCGCATTGGAGCCCGCCACTGACACCGGGGAGGTGAGTTTTTTTCCCTTTCACTTTGAAATTCAATTCTAAGCCTCCCCACACCCATATCAACACCGAAAAATCAAAAGGGAAGCCAGAAACCGAGGGTGGAGCTTGGCTGAGCCGCCGCACCCTCGACCCAAAACCCCTCCGGTGAGCCTTAATCCCCTCCCTGTTTCCTTCTATTTTTCGATCATTGGATTCCTGACTCTTTTTTGGGGCAGGATGACCGAAAAGAACCCCCAGCTGCAAGAGAGGAATGGTGGAGCCGCCACACCAGAAAACTGCCTTGCTGGTAATGCTTCGGTTTTTTTCCTTTTTTCAGCCACCAGAAGCAACTTAATCTCAGGTTTTCCAAGTTTGTGCACAAGATCGGCCAAAACTGGTCAAACAGAGAGGAAGTACCGCCGTAGGTGGCAGAGCTAGTGTCGGAGCACGGTGGCTCTGCTGTGCTAGAACCCTAAACTGCCCCGAAAAGCTTTTAAATCCTTATTTTGTCTTTTTTGAGTATTTCAAGATATGTGATGCGTATTTTCGATTTTCGCAGAAAAAATTCAAAAAATCCGAGAACCGCCGATAAGTGCAGTGAAAAAGGCAGTGTTTCGAACACCGATCCGATGTAAGAATTCCTTATCATTTCTCCTGTTACGGTTAATTAAAGTTTAATTAATAATTAAACGCTGAAATTTGTGAATATTGGCAACATTTTATTAATTAAATACAGGTCACTAATAGAGCCAGTAACTGGTCAGTATATAGTTTATTTGTATTATCTATTTATTTCTATATTGCCTTAATTGCTTACTGTTACATCGGGTGCTTTAATTTATAGATTTTAATTGTCTTCTCAATTATTAGTTTACCTAACTATTCTATCCCTATTGATTGGTTTGAAATAAATGTCCTGCCTATGCTTTTCTTAGTTATTAAAGTATCAATTGTATTGTTTGTTTAATTGTCGTTCTATTGTCTTGTAATTATAAGATAAGATTGTTATATGTAATAGATGACTGATTGTTGATGATGATATGTATGTGAAAGGCTTACCTGATGTCATGGGAAAGGGTACACGGACCCAGTACATAGAACAAATCCTACCGTGAACATTACATCAGTCGAATGAGGTTGAGAAGTCTTATACCAGAAAGGATTAGGAAGCATTTATTCACCCTCATTACCCAACGGAGTATGGGGACGACCGATTAATTAAGAGATTGAATATTGGGTCCACGTGTAGTGAAAATCCTATGAACCCCTAGGGACACTGGTAAGTAAGTAATGTTATTTCTTAAAATGTCTATTGAATTGTTATCTTGATTATTGTCTTCACAAGTCGTATTTGAGAACCTAAAAAGTGAGTATGAAACTAACGTTTTAAACATTAAATGAATTTACCTAAAAAGAAAAATAACTTTATTGGTTATTTCACAATTTTTACCAACATTTAATTTTCCGTATCGGTTGTTAAGCGTTGATATTCTTACTGGGCTAGTGTAACTCATTCCCCTTATTTAACCATTTCAGATAAGGATGACCAAGATCCAAATCTTGAACAACGAGAAAGTTAGCGACTAAATGTTGTCTCACGTTTTCCACCAGTTGCGTTGCAGAGGTTGACCTTATAAGTTTCTAGTCGCATTCTTATTTATGTTATTTTAATCTCTTTTAAGGGACATTCCCGTAACCCTACTGAACATTCAGATTTAACTGTGCAATGAATGTAAATCCTAAATTCTTAATTGCTTTCACTTATATTTTATTAATTCAATATTTCTATTCGATTAAATTTTTGAGCATTTATAGTTGATATCAGAATCCCGTTCATCGGAACTATTCCTTACACAAAATGTTAGAATCATTCAATACAACCCAACTCTCAATCCTTTGTTGTGAAATGCAAGTACAAGGATATAAGGAGAGGAAGACCCTCACTAAACAGAGCAGCCCGGGATGGATCACTTCGAGATGATGTCGATCGACTCTTTGAGATGCTGGAGAGACTCATCTTTGCCCAACAGGTCAGGGAAGAAAGGAGAGAGTTGTCTGATCCTCCTCTACCACTGCCCCAGTATGAGCCACCCTTACAACGAGAGGATCCAGTACCACCTTGGTATAACCTTACTCCTCCATTGTATCATCCGGCACCGCTGCAGTACAATCCGGTGCTCTTGCCACACAACTAGGTGCCGCCACAGGACCATCCGGACCCTCCCCAGCATAATCCAGTTCCTCTTCAGCAGGACCCAACTCCACCCGTGATGGACCCATACTACATTGAGAGGTACAAAAAATTTAACCCATCTACTCTTGTAGGGGCATCTACTTTTGAAGAATCTGAGTACTAGTTAGCAGAGACAGAGAAGACTTTCACAACTCTTAGAGTAGTTCCCAAACAAAAGGTCATTCTTGCCACTTACATGCTCGTGGGTGAGGCAGAACGTTGGTGGCAACTGAAGTAGGTCACTTTACCCATCTCAGTCATATGGGAATAATTTTTGACAACTTTCAATGCAAAGTATCTTCTAGAACACCTTCGACATTTAAAGAAGATGGACTTTGCACACTTAGTTCATGAGAATAGACAATGTCAGAGTATGCTCGAAAATTCATGGAGTTGGGCCGATACTCTCCCGAGAGTATGATGGACGAAGGCAGAAAGATAAGAAAGTTTGAGTGAGGTCTTCGTCATGAGATTAGACAACAATTGTATATGTTCGAGCTCAGCACCCACTCAGCGGTTTTGGCTAAGATACAACTAATAGAAAGGAACCTCTGCATCTTTCCTTTAGCAGTGGGCAAACCCAGGCCCTCGGTTCCACATCATAAGCCAGTACTTACTGCATCGAATCAGTAGAACAAGAGACAAAGCCCCGCGACTCAAGCTCCTCCTCATACCCCGGCAATAGGACGCAGCAAGACTTGCCAGCATTGTGGCAATGACCATGGGGATCGACCTTACTATTGCCTCAATGACACTTGCCACATATGTAGAAGTGTCCAACACTACGCGAGAGAGTGCTAACAGAATCAGAATCAGACCAGACCTCCAGTCTAGGGCAGTCTATACCCTCACCCAACAAGATGATGAAGCCAACCCGGATATGATACATGGTACGTACACTATTTGTAACTACTTTGCACATGTTTTAATTGATACTTATGCTTCACATGCTTTTACAAAAAAATTAAATGTTACCTAAAAACTTTGATTCTGTGTTGTTTGTGTCTATACTTGGGAATGAGACACTATTAAGAAATGTCATATAC